GTGCTCACCACCAGCAAGTGTGTGTAGACCACAGGTCTTCTTCATTCTTAGAGTAAATTGCTTGGTAAAGTCGTCTTTATCTCCTACTCTTTCTTGATGCTGGCAGTCGGACCAGGAGGAAGATGCAGAGCTGAAGGCACAGGTAGAAAATTAAAGATACAACAAAAACCCCAGACCAGCGTGTGAGACGTCATTGTGTGTCTGCCATGTTCAGACATTTTTCTGCATGTTCCCTCTCGGTTACCATGCCAACGGCGTGTAGACTGGCATTTGTTCCCTTGACTACTGTGTCCCTTACCGTTCCCTCTCTTCTCCACTTTTTTCAGACTAGTCTGATTAAGCGAATAAAGGGTGAAAATGTGTATGTCAAACATAGTAATCTTATGTTAGAGGTTGGTATTGGTATGCACCAGTGCATGCTTGTGTGTGTGTTTGATCCTTCCATGGCATACCTGTGGACTTGAACCATGATGCATGAACTGTGTGCTCAACTGTTAGTGACTGGGGATGATTTCTCGACTTAACTCTGATTCCTTATTCTCTCCTAGACATAGATCCCTTTCCCTGTGTGTGTATTTGTTTTAATCCTCTGGTTACATGTAAACTTCACTCCTTAGAATTTACCTTTAACCGGTTTTTTTTTTTATTTGTATGCTGTGTGAAACTAAATTATTTTTCTCTCCCTTTTCCTGGAAATCCTACATTTTCACTAGAGCGTTTGTGGTAGTGTCTTGAACCCTGACCCAAATTCAGTTTCCTTTTGACTACAAATGTGTTTGGTATATTTTTAAAAGGAGACGGGGGTGGGGGATATAGAAAATCATTGCAGAAGTTTGACTGTTGGAATCTTCTTGCTCTGGCCATAGGAGCTAGATAAAACTCAAGACGAACTGATGAAACACCAAACCAACATTAGCGAGCTGAAAAGAACCTTCTTAGAAACCTCTACGGAAACTGCCTTAACAAACGAGTGGGAAAAGAGACTTTCCACGTCCCCTGTGCGACTGGCTGCCAGGCAGGAGGATGCTCCCATGATTGAGCCACTGGTACCTGAGGAGGTCAGTATTTGGGCATGGGCTAATTGTCTTCTGCTCAGATGGTATCACTTCTCCACGGGGTCTGGGACTGGGGAAGGGGTGTGGTCAGACCTGGAAAGAGGTACTAAGTGCTCCCAAGACATCTGCTAGGTAAACAGAGTAGGTGGATGAAGAATGAGTCTCAGCATCAGACTGTGCTAAGCATGACCATGACCAGGCAAGACTGACCATGGCCAGGCAAGAATGACCATGGCCAGGCAAGAATGACCATGACTAGGCAAGACTGACCATGACCAGGCAAGACTGACCATGGCCAGGCAAGAATGACCATGACTAGGCAAGACTGACCATGACCAGGCAAGAATGATCATGACCAGACAAAAATGACCATGACCAGGCAAGAACAGGGAGACTCCAGTGCACATTGCCTGATTCTTACCTTTAATGTCAATTTTATACCTGGGAGAAGTTGATGATCTCTTAGTGAACTGATGCTTTCTGTAAACACACTTTCTTCTCCTGCATTGAGAAACGCCTTTAAAAACTGGTTTATTCTTCTCACTAATTGGAAAATGAAACCTGATAACATTGTCTGCGGTTTAAGTGGGTGTTAGAAGTTGATAGCATTTCAGGACAGATAATTACTCTGGCATATAATACTGGGCTTTTATTTAATTTAATGTTTTTTTATTTTAATTAGAACTGGTTATTTTAACTAATTCTAAATCAGTGGGGTTTTTGTTGTTTGTTTGTTTTGTTTTTTTTAACATGGGAAAAGCAAATGACAGATGTCCTTTTTTCAATAAGACTTTTCCATATAAGGAAACTGACTTTTAAGTGAGATTCGGGGCTCGACTCTGTCACTCCAGGGCTCTCACCATGTGGCTGTAATGGCCATTTGATCATCCATTAGAGAGCATCCTGCTATCTCTCTCTTTCAAAATAAATCGTTTTGGGAAATTGTGTCTGTAGAACCCTGTATTGATTAGCCTCTTTATCCAGATCCTTTTATTGTGAGATATTTGCCCAAGAAGCTGGGACAGAATAGAGCATGAAAACTCCAACTGTGGTGGGAGAGAAAGCCTTTACACAGTAGTATATACACAATGCTGAAGCCCTTGCAGAGAAAATAAGAATCAAATTACACCCATTGTTCCTCCTCCTTTGAAAGCTGTTTATCAGAAGTGCCAGTATCTCATTATCACTACATTCCCGACAAACCCCCATCCCAGCCGAAAAGGGAAGAGTTGGATACCTATCTGAGCTACTTTGAAAAAGTTCTTTTTAGGCAGGATAAATAGAAGTATTGTTACCAAAGTCTCCCTGGACCGTTAAACACCAGTTCCACTCAGATTGCTTAAGTATCAGGGGACAAAATTTGACTTGGTGTTGTCATTGTAGTCTTTGCATGATTAAGACTAGCACCTGTAGACGGCAGAAACGGTGAATCAAGCATTTGATGTTGCAGTATGAGGACAGGAGTTTGAAGAGTTCCCCAAGTGCACCCTAAAGCCAGATGTGGTCATGGGCCTCTGCAGTCCCAGCATGCCTGCAGCAAAAAGAGGCAGAGACAAGGGATTCCCCTGGAGCTCCTGGGCCACCCAAGCTGGCATGCGCAGCAGTGAACAGCAAGAAACCTTGCCTCAAACACGGCAGAACTTGAGAACTAAAAACCAAGCTTGTCCTCTGACCTCCACATGCATGCTGTGGCACATGTATGCCCTTACTCACACATCGATACACATGTGCACACACACACATGAACATATGTATACACACACATAAACACACACTTTTTTAAAAATGTCACTTATTTGTTACGATGTCAGAGATTTTATTGTAGTTTTCGAATCTGGATCATTTTATTTCTGTTATCTCATTTGGAAACAATGTTCTGGCTCAAAAAATGTTAGATACTGGCTTATGTTGTAAATACACAGAACAAATAGCCACCAAAGCAAAACAAAGTAAAAACAAAACAAAACAAACAAACAAAAAGAATCCCAGCATCTCTCTCCATGCTGATACTGAAGGAAATGGTAGATGATAGCCTTTCCGAATCAGAATTTGGGTAATAAGAGATGTTAGTAAACACGAAGACTTTGAAAGTCAAAGCCATAAGACTGATTGAAACATTGTACTCCTGAATCTTAGAGGATGATGTTGACTTAATAATTGAAGGACGTGGTACTTTGACTAACCCTGAGTGTTCCCTGGATGGCCGTGCCTTCTCTGTGTCAGTGCCAACAGTGGAGACAGCCAAGAAAGGCCCTTTTCAACATAACCAAATAGAAACATCCCTTTGTAGCTAAAGGGCAATGCCACTTGGGTCCGCAGACTGGAAAAGGAAGTACAAAGCCGGCGTGGTGGCTGCTGTCACATCTCCGCAGGAACTCCATGCTCCCATCACTCTCGTCCGCACATGAAATCTCAGGAGGCCCTTGTCTGGGTATAGTGAAGTCGAGAAGGATGGACGCTGGACAGCAGAGGAGTTCTAGAAAAGCTAGGTAATTCAGGTCCTGAAAGATGAGAGCTGTTCTCCCATGGTCCACGCCCTGTGCTTCTCTCGATAGCTGGGCCAAGCAGAGCGAACTCCACATTCCCTTGTGTTCTTCAGAATGAGACAGTTGTCAGTGACATCCAAGTTTATAGTCCAGCTGGCAGCCCTGTAGATCGCCAGAAGACCAAGGAAAACATTCTTATTGTCTAAATCCGCTCCAGTCTCTACATTTAGACCTTGGCTTTTCTATTCCGGCTTTATGAAAAGCAGACAATCTCTTTAACCTCCAGGCTAGGAATGTACAAAGCGTATTGGTTTACAGACCCATAAACAATCAGTTTTATCTTGGATAGGAGGAGACATTTTTCAAAGAATATCAGTTGCTTGGTATCTGTTACTTGATATGGCCACTTTAATTATCCAGTGTAGAAAGAACCCCAGCTGTGTCTACATAGAAATATTTAACTTATGTTTTAAATTCACATCACAAATAAAATAATACTATTCTGTGTCAGAATCAGGAAGACACTTAGATTCAATGACCTCACATTTATGACCCCAACTTAGTTGGCTTCTTTTTTTTTTTAATGAATTTCAGTGAGAAAATGATGTTTTGAAAAAAAAATCTAATGACTTCAGATTTTTAATTTTATCATCTTTTATCTATAATGGTTGAATACTAAGTGTTACTTCTGTAAAATACTACCATTAATGAACAATTAGAAAAATACTAAAGTTGAAAAAAATGTATCGTGAACTAATTTATATTCTGAGAATTTCATGTGTTCACTGTACATAAAGTTAGACTTTGGTTGCCAGTGACTTCAAGTTTCAAATCTTTGAGTAAATAGCAGAAGCGCCCTCCAAGCAGTGGATAAAATCAAGTCCTTGTTCACATTAACCAACAGATCAGTTCATGTGAAAGAGACATGTTCTCCAAGACAATGAGCACAAACAGTTCCCAAAATGGCCTTGCACGTGGCACATAGGCCAGCACATCTTAGAGCTGTGTTCTGTAGTGGTTACTTGGATACCAAAATTGTCCAAATCCCAATCAAAAAGCAATATTAATGCCTGTGTGATACCAATATTATCCTCTTTTGCAAGCGAGCTGTAAATTCCCAAGTATATTCACTATATAATATAGTGAGCCTCATAGGTATAGTGCATCTAATATAGTAGAGCTTTGAGACAGACACTGACTATAGTTGATTCCCATTATTTATGGCTTTTTTTTTTTTTTTTTTGGTTTTTCGAGACAGGCTTTCTCTGTGTAGCTTTGCGCCTCTCCTGGAACTCACTTGGTAGCCCAGGCTGGCCTCGAACTCACAGAGATCTGCCTGGCTCTGCCTCCCGAGTGCTGGGATTAAAGGCGTGCGCCACCACCGCCCGGCTTATTTATGGCTTTTTATATTTATATTTGTCTTCAAATTTACCTGTTCTCTAACATTTATTATTAGAACAGCTTAATAATCCAAAAGAGAGTTAGTATTAGGAATTTTGTATCCCTGAATAGGACTCTGCATCCCAAGTATATTGCAGAGTAATGTTTAGTAACTAAATAAAATGGTTGACACATACACTTGACTGTATTCTTAGCTGTAATAGAGGAACGGTGTAGAGGCTTCAGTTTATCAGTATCTTATCACTTCCTTATCAATTTATCGCTTCCTTAGTAGAGGCACTGGTCTGGTTGGGGGGTAGACCATGAATACACTCTAACTTTATACCTATCCCTCTATGTTAGCTGTTTCTGTTGTTGGAACACAGTTCTAAATGGGGCCTGTTGGTGTTTCCAGTAACAGGCACATGTTTTAAAAATCAAAGTTTTTTTAGGCCAGGAAGTTTCCTGAAACCCACTGTTTCAGTGCCTGGCTTTTTCCCTAGCTCTTATCTTTGGGATAACGTTTATCTCGATGATCGTAATTAGAGGGCTGACAGCCTTATTCTGGAAAGAGCACCTATAATTGTGAACTTCCCTTCCTGTTCCTCACTTCTGTTTGAAAAAGAAGTTGTTACTGAAAGTATTTGTTCTTAATCTGCATTTAATAATTGCTCATAGTAAATTTTATCTTTTGCAGTGTCCTCCTCCAGAATTGCAACAGGATAGGAATTATGTTTCTCCTATATAAACGGGTTACTTACCTCTCGTTTGAAAGAATCATCTGAGATTGTATTGTATTGTATTGTCACAATTTATAATAGGTCCCACAAAATGTTCCAGATATTCCCCTACAGTCATTTCAATGCAGTTCTTACTAAATGACTAGTGGACAAATAGTTACTTCATTAGTAGAGACACTGTTAGGTTGGGAGGTAGACTGTATATAGAAATTAATTCTAAACCTATCCCACTCTGTTAGCTGTTTCTGTTATTGACACATGGTTCTGAATGTGGCCTAAACTCTAAAGAGTTTTCATAAAAGTATATTGTTTGTAATGATACGATTCACTTAAAGAATTCCATTCTTCCAGAAACTTTGAATTTTGCTTGGTCACTTTATTTATTTTTTATTTATTATTCATTTTACATACCAACCACAGATCCCCCTCTCATCCTTCCTCCCACTCCTCCTTCCACTCCCCAGTCTCCCCTCCTCTGCCCCACCCCTCATCCCCTCCTCCAAAAGAATAAGGGCTCCCATGGAGAGTCAGCAAAGCCTGGTACATTCAGTTGAGGCAGGTCCAAGCCCCTCACCCCTGAATCAAGACTGTGCAAGGTGTCCCACCATAGTTAATGGGCTCCAAAGAGCCAGTTCATGCACCAGGGATAGATTCTGATCCCACTGCCAGGGGCCCCTCAAACAGAGCTTGGTCATTTTTAGATTAATTTCCAAACTATTCTTTCTATCCCTACTGTATGGAGTTGTACACTATACAGAGACGGGCCTGGGCAGCAGCGGGCTTACCATTTGAATTAGGTCTATTTAATACTAAAGGAAATAACAAAGGGATACTTTAAAACTCAAGAGCTGCTTCCCACCTCAAAGGATGAAATCAATGTTGCTTGATTCTATACATTATAGTTTGATCCCAAGTTTCCACTCAGATCATTTGAAATTAATTTTAAAAATTTATTTATCATATTATAAAAGTTCAAATAAAATTTGACTTTTGTTTGCTTAGAGGCCAACAAAGACATCTATTCAAAAATGGCTGGGTTTGTTCAGGTGAATGGTGTTCCATTTTGCTTTCTGTTCTGTGATTAAAAAAACAAACAAGCAAACAAAAACAATCTGACTAAAAGCAATTTAGGGAAGCAAATGGGCTTACAGTTCCAGTTCACAGTCCATCCTTGAAGGAAGGAATTCAGGCAGGAACCTGAAGTAGAATCCGATGGAGAATGTTACCTGCTGCTGACTCACCGGCAGACTCCTGCTTAGGCAGCTTGCTTATGCAGCCCAGCATCATCTCCCTTGGGCATGATACCACCTACACAATTAACAATCAAAATGACCCCCCACGGAGGTGCCCACAGGCCAGTCTGCTCTGGGGAATTCAGCCACTGAGGTTTTCCTTCTCAAGTGACTCCAAGTTGTATCAAGGTGACATTAAAGGTATAACCAGGACAGATGGCTAATGCACCAGCCATGTGCACATTTCTTCTCTACCACATGTCACGTACATGAGGATATGGTGGGGTATTTGTTAGAAGCAGAAGCGAGTGTCTCTCCTGTTACTTTTAAAAGCCTTTTTCTTCACATTTTGTTTTAGTCCTTACTGTTAGGGCCATGAGAGAAACCCAGTGAAATACCAAGCAACCCTTCCTGCTCCTCCGTGTGCTCTGTGTGTGTGGAAACGTGAAACACCTGAGTTGTGTGAGCATCCGTTTCAGGAAATAATGTTGCCCATTTGGAGATGATTATTAAAACTGGAAATGGTTCTAGATCACTTTCCAGATGAGTAATACTTCAAGAAAAACATGAATGATTGTGAACACAGACATGATGCAGTGCTCGTTTCCTAACTCATCTTTCTGGAAAATGTCTGCTCCCTCTTCTCCAACCCCCTTTATTCAAACAGACCAAAGAAGAGAGAGAGATTTCTGAGAAAGTTGTATTTTTACATCAAGGAAGCTCGCCATTCCTTGAGTCTCAGGTAAAAAAAGCAAGCACGACGTATTTGCATAAAGGAATCAGTCTTCAGTCTTCAGTCTTGTCACTGGGGTGTCTGGTTTTTACCTCTTTAGTTTTTCTTGTTTAAAGCTAAGGTGGGTATGTTAATTTGCTTAGACTTTGGGAAAGGGAATTTTCTTAGTATGTTAGTGATCAATCACTTATTCCTCAGGACTTCTACATGATAAAAATTACCATTGAAGCTTTGTTTCTACTTGTGATAATCTTCTGAAACTACCCCCCACCCCCGTCTGTCTTCATCTATACACTGCTATTATTTTAAATGACTTTGACTAATTTCTGAATGCTCTGAACTTATCTTGGTTTTCTTGCTAGCCAAGTGTGACTAAGAAAATGCGGGAAGGCGTCTCTGCTGATTCTGTGGCCACTTCTCATCAAATAATTTTTCAGAAAACTGTCCCGTCGACCCTAGAGGTTATTTTTTTTCAATTTGTTTCTTGTAGTCCGATGCCAGCATGTAGATCAACCTGCAATTATTTTGCTTCACACAAGCATATATCTAGATTCAGGTTTTCAGGCTACAATAAATAGAAAACAGCACCCTAGTTAGAGATGTAAAACAAAATGCTTGCCTGCTCTGGTTTGACCTTTGGTTTGACCTGGCCTCCTTCTGTAGCCTGGTAGGCTGGTGAGCAGTTACCCATGTCATCCTGTTGGCTCTCCCGTAGGCCAAGGTTTCTTACCGTCTGTCTGCCTTGTTGGAACTAACACTTAAGAAAGTGGGAGAGAAATTACTGAGACATCAAACTGCAGTTCCTAGTTAAGATCAGAACACTCTACGGACCACTAAGTCTTATTTATAAAAGGATCCAATCAGTAGTGTCCCATCAGAGGAAATTCTATCGCAACACCTTGGCTACAGGTGCACCCAGTATGCATTGATACTAAGTATAGTCATGAATGGACCTCCCTAGATAAGGAAATACATTTGCACACATGGGAAATGGTATTTACAGAAACTTGGAGAACACCTTCCACTTCCTTGTGGAAATGCCGCTATGGGAAGCACTCTGTAACAGCAAACAAGGAAAACTGTCTTTTGTGCCTCCATGTATAAAGCTGAGTAGTTCAGTTATACCATCCAATCTTAAGTTAAAAAACAACCAGCTGCCAACCATAAGGTCAAATAGATTTCTTATAAAATTCATTGCCAAGATATGTTCCTATTTAAAGAAACGTGAAATTGCAACGCCACCCCCCACCCCACCCCCCCACACACACAGAATGTATTCTGGGTTGAAGTTAATAGATTTTAGGTGAGAGGGGACTCCAGCCATAATTCTTAAATGATGGCGGCCACCCTTTGCTTGAGTTCTATCCCATGCTGGAGTGTAGCTTATGCCCTGATTTTTTTTTTTTTTTGTAAAGGATTCTTTTATAAACAAGACACTATCAGCTTTTCTAATTTAGCTTTTATATTTTGAATATAGGGCACAGAGGATTGGGTTATTGTAGACAAAATACCCACTGAGGTAGTTGATGGTGATTCGAAAAAGATTGTGACTTACAAGGTGGTTACCGTGAGCAGTAAAACTGGTGAGATCCCAGCCGACTTGCTAAAATCTAGCATGATTGACATGCATGGCTTCGATGACTTGGCCAGAGAAATGCAGCTTCAAGAAGAGAACAAGCAGAAGATGTACACGCTAGGGAAATCCTACGATACCATCTCTGGAAGAATTGTTTCCATGACTGGGAAAGCTAAAGAGGGCGAGAGAGCCGCCCAGCCCTCCTCAGTGGAAGCCCTGCAGATGGAGAGAGGCGCCACCGCTGCTGATGCCCTGAAGGTCGGTCCCCTGCTGGTGGAATACGAGGTCCTGGAATCCCTGGCTGATGAGAAATCCAGAAGAGGACCCGAGGTCCAGACCCCGAAGCGGAGGTTGTCAGAATCCCTGGCGCCCATCAAGGAAGCTGAATCTCGGCGGCAAAGCCCTGAGGAAGATGATGCCCAGAAGGTTCCAAAGCTAGGAGAGGATGTGCCTGCCCACCCCCGGCTCAGCAAACCGCAGCCGGTGCCCGAATGTGAGGTGTTGAAGGTGGGGCCCTTTGGCCCACGCAGGAAGAGCCTGTCTGAGTGGCGCTACTCCCAGGAGCCGGCCTTTACGGTGGCCACTGCTCACTACGTCACTGAGTCGTCCGCATCCCAAGTGGTGGTAACCAGTGGCTCTCATTCGGTCACAGCTTAAGATTCCAGCATGACAGTTTTTCAAAGGGCGCCCTTCCACCCTGAGCCTTTTCCCGTTTCGCTTGACTTTACGTTGAGAGCAGCCAACCCGGCTTTTTTATTTTTCCATGATTAAATCAATACTGCAGTCTAAAACGTCAGCATTAAAACACTTTTCCTTTTTTTATTTCTAGCTGCCTGTTCCCAAGATCCGTGATAACGCTGCTGTGGCTTGCAATTAAGGGGGGGGGGGGGGGAGGAGTTGGGGGGTTGGAAAATGACCTGCTTAAATCGGCGCCACCCTGAACGTAGTAACTCTGCTTTAGCACACGAGGGCTCGCGGTCACCTAGTTTGCTATGTTATGCCCCATTCTTTTCTGTTTCCAAGCTCTGTACGTGGACTCCTCCATTCCTCCTTCCTTTTTTTTTTCCCTCTGCCTCCAGTTTTGTCTAGCAAGCTGCGAACCCGTGTGTCAGAGGCGTCTCTCCTCTCTCTCGCTCTCTCTCGCTCTTGACTCTCGTTTCTCTGTTCACTCAGACTAAACAGTCTGCTGGGGAGAAGCTCATGGACGGCTCGGAGATCCTCAGTCTGTTAGAGTCTGCACGAAAACCCACCGAGTTCATAGGAGGGGTTTCATCTACTACCCAGAGCTGGGTGCAGGTGGCCATTTCCTCATCCCCGCCTTGGTGTTTCTGATTTGTGCCCCATTTGCTTTGCTTTGTGAGTCTGTGGCACGTGTGTGTCTGTGTGTTGCATCCCAGGGACCTTGCCTTCCTGCATCTCAAAAGATGTCCCCAGTGATGGTCCTTTGTGCTGCTGCTGCATGTGTCTGTTGTATACCTCCCATCCCACTTCAGGAATGTGCATCCTGTACTCAAGAGCAATTGTGTTAGGAAATTTTAATAGCATTTAACCTTTAGACACATTTTGTCTCATCCGTTGGGTCTAAGAGCGCGCTCAAAGCCAGTGTGACTGTGCAGCGAAGCTTCCATTCTCCTTTTCTCCACTTGCATATTTTATTGCTTTCTGTTTCTTTTGCCAATGCTCTGAGAAAGCTGTGCAGGTCCCTCTGTGTGTGTGTGTGTGTGTGTGTGTGTGTGTGTGTGTGTGTGTGTGTGTGTGTGTGTGTGTGTTGAAAGGCACACCTCAGAGCTGGTGGAAGGAACGAAAGCTAACTTTTATTTCCATCAGTGTTTGTGCATATGAGCTCTTGATGCCGGCTTTGGACATCCTAGTGAGCATCAGCTTTGGGGGTTTTGTTGGTTTTGTTTTATGAAGGGTCACGCCGACACTGTGCTCTTCCCCTAACAGAAACTGGAAACGAAGACAGAGTCCATCGAAACCGAGGTGGAATCGACCCTACCCTCCCAGCCCCTCGGCACTGAGAAGGTGCTGCAGGAGACAGTGTTGGTGGAGGAGAGGCGCGTGATGAGTGTGTGTGGGAGCGGGGACGCTTCTCACACGGAGGGGGATGGTGTGGATGCAGCGGAGTCCACACCCGCAGATCCTCACAGCATGAAAGGGAAGGAGGCCTCTTCTGTGACAGAAGCAGCAGCGAAGGAAGAAAGAGGAGAGGAGGCCGACAAGTCTGTCCCCGAGCAGGAACAGCCAGCCCCTGTCTCCCAGGAGGAAGAGCAGGTGGTGGCCATGCACCCTTCTGAGGCTTTGGAACAGAAATGTCATTTTGAGGTAAACAGCAGTTACTGTAACTCTCAGGCGGAAAGTAGAGCTACACTTGATTTGATACCTCATCGTGCAAGGGCCTTTGGTTTTCCTCTCTGTTCGTTGACTTTGCATGGCAGTGAAAGGCCTCCATGCTTTTATCCAGATGTGGGGTCACATAGAAGCATAAAAACTCGTATTGATGATGTATTGTTCCAGGAAGTGGTTTCTGTCATTGAAATTAAAACTGACAGAAAACATGGGGAACCAATGATTAGTTAGATATTAGAAAATCTGAGGGCCACAAAGATGGCTTGGTAGCTAACAAGTGCTTGTCACACAAGCCTGGTGACCTGAGTTCTAAAAGCTGTCCTCTGACCTACACACACACACACACACACACACACACACACACACACACACACACGCACGCACACACACGGACACACACACATACACATACCAACACCATCACCAATAATGAAATAAAGATTTTTAAAAGAACACTTGATATTTATTTCTGATCCATGTACTTTTCCAGAAGAACCAGAAAGCATTCCTCCAACTTGCAGAACTTTCTTCTTTATCACCTTTTTTTTTTTTTTTTTTTTTTTTTTTTTTTGGTTTTTTCGAGACAGGGTTTCTCTGTGTAGTTTTGCGCCTTTCCCGGAACTCGCTTTGGAGACCGGGCTGGCCTCGAACTCACAGAGATCCGCCTGCCTCTGCCTCCCGAGTGCTGGGATTAAAGGCGTGAGCCACCACCACCCGGCTCTTTATCACCTTTTACTGAGATCCTCCACACATTGGTGGGTGGTGACTGAGGACTTGGTACTTGGCCTCATCTTCCCTCATTACTAATTTAAAAGCTCGTTTACAGGCTTAACTCAATCAGAATTTGCATATGAGATTGAGAAGGAGGAGCAGACTGTTTTTAATTTCCTTTAAAATGTTTCTGTTGCCTCAAACATCCTATGCCAACAACACTGTGATTTGGGGAGGCTGATGTGGATTTATGGTGTGCTGTGATCCCTATCTTACCTTCTCATTCAATACGGAAACTTTGGCCATGAACAAAAGTACCAAAGACACCAAGAAGAGAGAGAAGTTCAAACTGTGTGTACACCTCGATGATAACCCCTCCCCCTTGCTTCCCACTGGCACAGTCCTCCACGGTGAAGATGGAAAGCATGAGTGTGGGCAGTGTTTCTCCAGGAGGAGTAAAGCTAGAAATCTCTACCAAGGAAGTGCCAGTAGTACACACAGAAACAAAAACCATCACATACGAGTCATCACAGGTAAGACCGGAGGCCTGGCAACTCTACAGGGTCATGCCTTCACATGTAACTTCACGGTACCAGTCCAAGGGGCTGAGAAGTCCCTGCATCTAAACCGTCTCTGTCAAGAACAGTGTGGTACTGTGGCTTTTTGTTTGTTTGTTGTTTGTTTTTTCGAGACAGGATTTCTCCGTGTAGTTTTGGTGCCTGTCCTGGATCTCGCTCTGTAGACCAGGCTTGCCTTGAACTCACAGAGATCCGCCTGGCTCTGCCTCCCGAGTGCTGGGATTAAAGGCATGCACCACAGTGACTTAACCAAGGCTTTAGATAAGTCTCATAGAAAAGTCTATGGCATAGAAAAGTCTCAGAACCCTGGGTGTGCAGCTGTGGACAAGAAAGAGGAGTGGGCCACCCTCCACTCACATTTCTAAGATCTCAGTTTGTCAACATTCCTTGCCTGCAGCTTTACCTAGAGTTCACTCCTAGAGCTCCCACGTGCTACCTGAATGGGGCTATGATTGTGGGAAGCGATTGTTCCTTCCTTCTGAGGGAGTGGGTTCCGGGGTTTCCCATGGATGCATACATCTGCGGATGCTCCAATCCCTTGGCTAGAATAGTGTAACATTCCCTTATAACATATGTGCTGTGGGATGTTCTGTATGCTCTGAATGTGTTGCTCTGATTGGTTAATAAATAAAGTGCTGATTGGCCAATAGCCAAGCAGGAAGTATAGGTGGGACAGAGAGAGAGGAGAAGGTGGGGAAGTGGAAGGCTGAGGCAGGGAGATGCTGCCAGCCACCACCATGAGGAGCAGGATGTAAAGTACCGGTAAGCCACAAGCCACGTGGCAAGGTATAGATTTATAGAAATGGGTTAAAATATAAGAACTAGATAGCAAGAAGCCTGAGCCATTAGGCCAAACAGTTTATATAATATAAGCATCTGTGTTTATTTGAGTTTGAGTGGCTGCTGGCCCAGGCAGGACTGGAGATAACTCTAGCAACACATATGGACATCCTCAGCTATAGTTTAGATAATCTCTAGATGACTTACGCTACCTTGAACAAGGTAAATGCTATGGTGGTGGTTGTTATATTCTGATGTTTAGCCAATATCTGGACACATTCTGTCTGGCTGCAAATGGTGTCTGATTATTTTCTGTCTGGGGTGGATTGGGTCTTTACCTGGGGAGGGCTGTGTTCACTCAGTCACTGTACTGCACTGAGGAATGAAACAGCCCTATGAAGCGTAAATGTAACCAGACCATGTGCTGTGTGTGCCCCTGTCCCTGCTTAGGTCGATCCTGGGGCAGATCTGGAGCCAGGTGTGCTAATGAGCGCACAGACGATCACATCTGAAACCACAAGTACCACCACCACCACACACATCACCAAAGTAAGTGGACAGGCATTATTCTTGACAGACGGAGAAAGGCATTGGCCGTCAAAACCCTCTGACAGATTGGTCTGCGCAAGGAATCCATTACTTGCCTATCAGATGTCGAGCTAGCTGTATTAAAAGTCAGCTTTGAAACGTCTGTCTCTACCATGAACTTGTCATCCTATGCTAGTTTCTAAGGAGGATTCCTTCTGGTATCCTTGATGCTCACCCCAGGGTGGACATAGAGTAGATCTCATAGAAACTGGGCCTACTAAACCCAGAGAACTTTACTTTTGAAAGTCAACATGTTGAATGCCTGTAGTAGACTGCCAGTTCCGTTCTGGGAGAGTGAACGACAGTGGTACCTCACACTTCCACCACTTTCTGCCATTACCCCAGTGAGTAACTCACAAAGGCCTTTCCATTTCCTTTTAGACTGTGAAAGGAGGCATTTCAGAGACAAGAATTGAGAAGCGAATAGTCATCACAGGAGATGCTGACATTGACCATGACCAGGTAGTACACGTGAGATGGTAAATGCTCTGACAGAGAAGTAAATGTGAACACGGTGGCCTTTCGGTTCCCAGTGCTGATCTTCTAGTTCAGCATGTATTCTAAAATAGTGTCTGGATTAACTTTCCAGTATATGATTTTTGAATCCTTCTGTAACCATTGTACCTCATTGTTAATTGTGGGTATAGATTTAGCTCATAAGTCTACACCTTGCTACTGCTCATGCATGTCCCACCTCCTTTTTGTTTTTACCCTTCTGTGATTTCCTGGGGATAGGCTCTGGCTCAGGCAATTAAAGAGGCCAAAGAGCAGCACCCCGACATGTCAGTGACCAAAGTAGTGGTCCATAAAGAGACAGAAATCACACCAGAAGATGGAGAGGATTGACCAGAGGTAAGAGGTGACGCTGATTCTCTAGGCTTGCCTCGGCTGGCATGTGGCATGGGGCACCTCCCTCCCACCCTTCGCCCCATCCCCTCCCCCTCCTTTGTTCTCTCGCTGGCGTTTGTGGGGCTGGCTAGCGAGGAGATGGAGAACTGTGTGTGGGTACCGGGGTGCCTCTGCTGTGGAGATTCCGTCTTCAGAGCTGTGTTCGCACCCACGCCAGCTAGAGGGGAAGGGAAAGCAAGGTCCTTGCTTGCCGGGTCTCACCACACTGCTCTTTTCGTCTGGGCTTTGCATTCTTCTCATTACCCAAATTTGAATTAGCAAATTTGATTTCAGTTGCCGGGTGGCCTAGTTAAAAACTAAAGCAGCAGGTTCTCCTGAGAAGCTGAATTTGTGTTCCCACTCGTAGAAAAACTAGCCGTACTCCTTCACGCTTTGGGTGACAGCATCGTCCTTGGAAGTGCGCTCTTCCAAGACAAACATCTATGCTTCAGACTGATCTAGTTTGAAACTGAGCACTAACTTTCCTTTTGAATGTCTTACATTCCCTGTATTCTGTGAGTGACTTGCCCCATCGTATACTATTTTGTCCCCAACGGAGGCAGAAATGCAGATTTGTGGTCCTGTTTTCCTCCTGAAAGTGCATGCCTTGCCGATCTGTGTGACTAGCATCATGAGCAGACTCTGCCCTCTGTGTGTGCACAGCCTTGTCATGTATACTGACCTGCCATGCGAGAACTCAGGTGGCCGTGCGCATCCCTAGGTGGACTGTAAATGCTGAGTGCACTTGCAGCTACTGACGCATGTACTTCTAAAATAAGACATCGAAAAGAGGTTGTCTAGATCCGTTTCTGAAGCATTTAGGTTAATGAATAATACCTCTTTTTTTTTTTTTTTTAATAAGAAAAGATCCGGCGGCGTTGGCACACGCCTTTGATCCCAGCACTCAGGAGGCAGAGGCAGATGGATCTCTGTGAGTTCAAAGCCAGCCTGGTCTACAGAGCGAGATCCAGGACAGGCACCAAAACTACACAGAGAAACCCTGTCTTGAAAAACCAAAATAAATAAATAAATAAAATAAGAAAAGAAAATGCTAAACTCACTCAGATTCAAATTAATAGGATTCTTGAAAGATGGAAAAAAAGTGAGAGCGAGAAAAGATTTTTTTTTTCCTCCAATGGGCTTCGGCCACTTGGGTGACGTAATTTTATGCTGTAATATAACAGCTTCCCGTCGGACTGAGCATTTTCACTTCCACGGGACTTTCTGTAAGTACTTGGATGTTTTCAAATGAGAAACTAATGCAGTCTTTCCTCCCACAGGAATAACTTAGCTTGCACATGAACCCAGTCATATAAACCGTTAGGAAAACCGGAGCCTATGTGGAGTTCCCTCTTCTAACCCAACTGACTTGCATCTGTCTGTGGAAAATTCCAGAAGAACTGACCTTGACCGTTAATGAAAGACACTGGCAGAGAGATCTTCCCATCATAAAGCAATCCGAGTCAGCATCACTAAACTGATGATACTGCATGAAGCGATGATAAAAATCACAAAAGAACCGCACTTTTAATTTTCACCAAAATATCTGTTTTCAACTCTACCTGCACGTTCATAACCAACAGTGTAAACCGTGATCTCATGTAACACATCAACAACTCATGCCTTTCATAGTTTATTATTAAAGTCTCAACAAAATCGCAGTTTCATAGGTGACAAATTCTCTGTTTACAAATAAATGTTAATTACCCTAAAATGCTATCAGCCGTCTAGGTCCGGTGTGTCAGATTTACCCCAGATTAGGTGTGCCAATAACCAATTTTATTCAGTGAACAACTTGAATCTTGTCCTTGTCTAATCTGGCTTTATTATTCTCACCATAAGCAGTAATGACTCTCTGACCCTCTAGAAATATCTAATGCTTACAATCTTGCTTTGTGTCTCTAATTTGTTATAAGGTAGAACTGATTTTAGCACATTGATGTAATTTCTTCCTAGTCATTCGCTCTGGTCTGCGTTCAATCCAGAAAGATTCCCAGAATTACCTAAGCAAACCCTCAATATGTAAATTATCATTGTTTGGGGAAGAAAACCTGTATTTTTGTTAGTTTACAATATTTTAAGAATTCACTTCAGGAATACCTGTCGGGCTACTTTTGCTTTGTTTTTTTTTTCTTTTCTTCGTATTTTGTTCATTGATTGTTTTTTTCTTCTTTTACTTGAACGAAAAGGTGTTTTATTTACAAATCTGGTCCATATTTACAATCTAGTTCAGAGCCGAGCCTTAAATTGTACAGAATTTCCACTGTAATTAAACTATTTAGTGTTTAGTTATAAATAGCCTCCAGAAAGATATATTCTCCATTACACTGTCAGCTGCATCACAGCCCGTCGTGAATGATGTCACCGCATCGCGAAATAAAAATGGCAAATGCATTGAAAGCTCTTAATTTTCCATGTGGCATGATTTCAGTCTTGGGTGGTTTAGCCCAGAGTTCACATTCGCATTGCACCAAAGGCTTCATCTAGCTGGAATAGAGAGCCTTTCTAGGCAGGGTTAGAGATCCACACATTCAGCCTCTGATATACAGACCTAGGAGGGGTTGAGGGTGACAGCAAATACATTTATGTAAATATTCAGCTACTGACCATGGCTTCAAAAGGGCATTATAGACTCTCGTTTTCAGTTTTATGAGGAACGGGACTTTATGTTTCTGAGTACTTTTAGTGTAGCCAAGAATCATTGCTCTTAGGAAAGCTACTTTGGCTGTTATATCAATAACGGCAGGCACACAGTTGAGAAAGAGGGACATGGAAAACTTCTGTGTCAACCACTACCCCTACCCCCCCCCCAAAAAAAAGAAAGTAACCATCTAGACAGGAAGCCATAGAAGAGAACTCTTAAAAAGGATGCTCAAGTGTAGCTCTCCACAATTGATGGCTTCTGGAGTGGGTGCAGAAGAGGAGGGACTCAGTTCTACATAAAGGACAGGCCCCCGAGAGTTTGACCATGCTCCAGTGAGTATGTAGATACACAAATGGGACTTGGGTTCTTTGTTGTTTTGTTGTTGTTTCTTCTTTTGTGGGGGATGGTCACAAGGCCAGGGGCAGACATGGAAAGGCTGGGGAATGAGTGGGATTGTGGTGTATGATGTGAAATTCCCAAAGAATCAATAAAAAGGTTATATGGAAAAAATCGAAAACACTATTCTTTTAAGATACCAGCTCCACATAAATGACAAAGTGGGTGTTACAAAGGCCTATGTGACCTCTTCAGCTGCTCAGTCATATCACATTCCTCACGTGGTGGGGAGGAAAGCTAAGATCCAAAGTAATGCCTGCTTTTATTGACATCTTCCATGTCATGATTTACCTAGCTTTCTGACTTAAAAAAAAAAAAAAATAGAGCTGGAGATTTATAGCCAAATGGGTAAAATCCCTGCCATACAAGTGTAAGAAATGAATTTGAGGCCGGGCGGTGGTGGCGCACGCCTTTAATCCCAGCACTCGGGAGGCAGAGGCAGGCGGATCTCTGTGAGTTCGAGGCCAGCCTGGTCTCCAAAGCGAGTTCCAGGAAAAGCGCAAAGCTGCACAGAGAAACCCTGTCTCGAAAAACCAAAAAAAAAAAAGAAATGAATTTGAGCACCAGAGCCCATTTAAAAAAGTCGAGGGGGGGCTGCTTGTGAGATGGCTCAAAGGTTAAGAGCACTTTCTGCTCTTGCAGAGGACCCAGGTTTGGTTCCTAGCACCCACATGGTAGCTTACAACCAGTTGTCACTATAGTTCCAGGGACCCCAAAACACTCTTCTGGCCTCTGCAGGCACCTGGCATGCACATAGTATACACACATACATACAGGCAAACACTGATACACATAAATCCTTTTTAAAGATCCAGTGTGGTGGTGTGTGCTTGTGATTCCATTGCTGGGGAGGTGGAGACTGGGATTGTTTACTGTCCAGCCAGACTGGCCTAATCAATGAGCTCCATACTAATGAGAGACCCTGTCTGAAAAGTCAAGACAGACGGCTCCTGAGGAATAACATCCGAGGTTACCTTGTAGCCACCACACTCACATGCAGATGGACACATAAACTCAAACACACCCATAAGGACACACATATGACACCAAAAAAAAAAAAATTAGAAACACTTAGAAAATTAAGTCCTGTCATTTGTCTCTGAAAGTATCAGCTCATCATTAAGCATCATTTTAACTGTGTCTGTGAGTTAAAAAAAAATGTGTTCAAGGAATGAAGAGATGGTTCAGCAACTCAAAGCACTTGTTGCTCTTGTCGAGGACCCATGTCTGGTTCCCAGCACCCAGCTGGTAGCTCACAACCCTCTGTAATGCCAGTGTGAAGAGATGTGGTGCTGTCTTCTGACCTCTGGGCATTAGGCCCACACATGATGCACACAGACACACATGCAGGTAAGACGTTCATCTCATAAACCTAAAGAACTTTCTAAGGTGCCTTCAAAAGTTAATACTTTAGTTCACATACAGAAATGGTATATGGTGTCCTGAGACAGCCCGCTTAGTTGGAATCCAAGTTCTGCTTACGATGGGTGTTCTTAACTAGGTGCTCCTAATACCTCCATATTTCTCACCCAGCAATGGCATGCGCTGTCAAGAGAGTCACATTTCCAGCATTGTTTTTCTTCTCCATGATGCTCTTCACACTTCCCACACTTACCACCAGTAACAAGAAGGTTCCAAAGTCTCTCCTATGTATTTAGGTATTTGTGATAGAAATACTGCCTTGTTAGCACTAAAACTCATATTTTTAAAATTATTTTATATGCTAATTACTACAAAATTAGCAGCTAGAGATAGAACACATCTTTGCCCTGTGGTTTCTATGGGTCAGGAGTGCATGTGTGTGTGTGTGTGTGTGTGTGTGTGTGTGTGTGTGTGTTGTTTTTGTTTGTCTGACAATGTCACTGCGGTCAGAGTGTCTGCTGGGTCTTGGAGTCTTACTCATTTGGGGAATTCTGTACTTCCAAACTCTCTGGAGAAGGATGTACTTATAAGATTTCCACTCACTCTTGGTTGTTTTCATGGTAGAGGGCTCTTCTTTGCTTCTTCAAAGCTGTGAACCAGGAAGAAACTCTAGCATGTGTGTTTTAGTAATTCAGTGTCGTTAGGCATGAGTCTGTTACAGCACTGTTTTAATGCTGCAGCCCAACCAAGGCTGTAGCTTCCCACTGTCATGCCAGCTCCTAATTAGATACAAGGCGTGGCTCCTGCTCACAGTCTCTGCAAATTTTAATTTTTGATTCAGTGACTCATTAGCCACTACTAAGCATTCCCTGATCCAATAGTTTCAAAGCTAGGTTTCACTGATGTATGAAACAGGCTTATCCACATGAAAGACTTAAGTAACCTTGAAGGGGTTAATATCACTACAGTGCTATGAAAATGACCTCAGAGACACTTTCAGAGACTAAAACAATTTCATTTCCGAGAGTGGATTGCCTCACTGAGGAGTGTGTTTCTCAGTGTGCTCTCAGATTCAAGTCCAGGGTGGCAAGCAAACCAGAATGTACAGTTCTTTTGAATAAGCAGGGAAAATCTTGCAAAGACAAGAACAGTGTGGCATGTGTAGCAGGGTGACACATGTTTTTACAATGACAGATGTCTACAGAAACCCTAGCTGTTGTCTTAACAGCTCTTAAAAACCCTATGTATTTTCTCTAGACACACTGAGTGAATTGCTAGACGCAATGAAAAATCCTTTAAGTAAAATACTCCTGTTTCCACAGTGGCTCAGGGTCTAAGAGTACTAATTGCTCTTCCAAAGGACCTGGGTTCAGTGGCAGCTCACGACAGTCTGTAACTCCAGTTCCAGAGGATCCAATACCTTCTTCTGGCCCCCATGGACACTGCACACACATGATACACTTGAATACACTCAGGCAAAAAAACAATACATATAAAATAAAAAGAAATCTTTAAAAAAAAATACTGCTTCCCATCCATGGTTCATCCTGGGTACCTGGCTATGTGGAGAAATCCTGATCTCTCCTTGCACTGGGATGAACAGACAGGACCCCAGAGATGCTGAGATGGCCTGCTACTGGGAGAGGAATGGGGAGAGCACCGCTGCTTTGGGCATCACAGGTCCTTTTGCGTTCCCAGAAGAACTTACTCTTCCTTTCTCATTTACATGCCTTTCAAACTTCAGAGCCCCTATGTCATGTACTGAGGGTCGCTGAGATCATGCACCCTTTGGCTCCTTTTTTAAATAAGTATTGCAGTCCAGTGCCTTTGTTATATATTAGCTTCTCCCTAGCATTTCTATAGCTATAGTAAGTCAATGTCAAATGTTGCTATATTTTTGAGTAACAAAAGAGAGTCTAGAACTTAAATCCAAAATTATTTCTAGCTCACATTTCTAACTCACCAGGGCTATATATACCTTCAATTATATGCTTTCTCACTACATCAACCAATATAGGAATTGTCGACCTTGGTTTGGTGTAGAGATGACCTTGTACTTTAGTAGGTATTTATTTGGAAAGTAAAACTGGACTGTTCCATTTTTTTAAAATATACTTTTATGACAAGCCATTGGTGTGTATAAAATTGTGATCTCGGAAATGACATTTGGTTTGACAGACAATATCTTATAGGAGATCTGTGACTTAGCAGGAGTGATGAAACAGCCGATGATCCTCCATGAGTATGGTTATTGCACACGCATTTATGTACACACACACTCAGCTCCATAAATGGAGATGAAAGCAAAAGAAATCTCTCCCTCATGGTTTCTTGTCCTTCTTCAGCCATCCTGCTGTTGTTGCGTCACATATCCTTTCATGCCACAAAACTAACTACACGGACATTAGTCACCTTTCATCACTGTGACGAAAGACCTCAGATAAACAGTTGAAATGAAGACAAATTTTTGGCTTTTGGTCTTAGCTAGTGCATTGCCATGAAGCTGTGGTGAAACAGGATATGACCTCAGCAGGGGCATTTGATGGTATCACTTACCTCATGACAGACAGAAAACAAAAGGAGGCAAGAGGCCCAGGATAAGACTCACCCTTCAGCGGCATAACCCCAGCAGACAGTGTTTTTCAGTAACCCACAGTTTCCATACCCCCCAACTCTGGTGAATTATAAATCCATCAACAGATTAATCCATTGATTAGGTCAAAGCCCTAATCACTTTTTAAAACTTGACCTGTAAAGATTGCATTGAACTAAGTCTTGAATACATGAACCATTAGGGGACATTTCATATCAAAATTATGACAGACACTACAGGGACTCTAATCTCTTTGTATGGTGTCTTACTCATCCCATTGTGTAAGCTATGAGCTTAGGAGACTTTTCACACCCATCTCACATGATTTCCTTAGCTTGCCAAAGGCATTTCATTGACATATTAACTCTAACTATGGCTCCATACCTTGACTATTCAGGTAGCCCATGGC